TTCTACATTTTCCAGTTCCATTGCACGGTCTCGACTACAGTGCGACGGTTGTGCTTCTGTTTTCAGCTGTTTTCATCGAATAGGATTTACAAGTACTTCTAATAACAACCAGGAACCCAAATTTAAAATAATCAAAAAAGAGCAAAACAAAGACAGAATGGAACCAGGTGCAAGTGCTGTGAATTATGTGAATTATGAAGGCAGTAAGTTTTAAACCAAAGATGGGAACTAATGGGATGTATAAAATTCAAAACTAATTATGTGAATCTCGTTTGAAGGCATTGAGTTTATAACTAAAGATTGAAAGAAATGGAATTATAAGCTATGGCCAAACGATCTAAAAATTGAAAACTTTGTGCTGTAACATGTAAATGGTGTGATTGAATGAAGTTAACCTTTAAACGAGGCTTTTAATCCCGTAAAATAACGTTCGATTTGCTGCGTAAATAACTTTTCAAATATTCAAGTATAAAACTTTCGATTCGATGCGCAGATACCCACTGGGAAACGATATAATGTGTGATTGGAGTTCAATACTTGCGGCTCATTAGCTTATGCAATAAGCAAGGAGGCAAAACTTAGAGAAGTCCAAGCTTCAACAATGAAATGACGTGTGTTCGATTATGTTCCATGTCTGGGGCTGCTATATACACAATGTACAACCTACCACTGCGTGTTTGTGTGTGTATATAAATCAGTTGAGTGACCGCGACATTTAGAGATATTTAAAATTCAATGCGGCGGCCCAATGGCGTGCGTTGTTTCGTAAGGGACTTAAGGGTGGTGTAAATTAGTTTAGGCGCCTAAATTTATGCAGCAACTTAGTTATGCAACCAAGAGGAACATTCCAACAGGACAACGAACCCAAAACTAATGCCCAACGTCTCTCTCTCTCTCTTGTACAGGCGCCTCTATCGGCGGCATGCCCATCGAGGCACACGATCCCATCTACCTGGAGGCCTATCGCCAGAGCATACAAAATCCGGTGGCCTTCTGGGAGGAGCAGGGACATCTCTTGGACTGGGATAGACCCTGGCAGCAGGTGCTGGACAACAGCAATCCACCCTTCAGCAAGTGGTATGTCGGTGGATATCTGAATGCCTGCTACAATGCCATCGATCGGCATATCCTAGCCGGCAGGGGTGAGAATGTGGCGCTCATTCATGACAGTCCACTCACTGGCACCGTGCGACGTGTCACCTACCAGGAGCTGTACGATCAGATCATACTCCTAGCTGGAGGTCTGGCCAAAATGGGTGTGGTGAAGGGTGATCGTGTGGTGATCTACATGCCGCTGATACCCGAAACGATCATTGCCATGCTGGCCATTGTCCGTCTGGGCGCCATACATTCCGTGGTCTTTGGTGGCTTTGCCGCTAGGGAGCTTTGTTCGCGCATCGAGCACGTAGAACCGAAGCTGGTGATTGCCTCGAATGTGGGCGTGGAACCGGGCAAGGTTGTGCCATATTTGGACATTCTCCACTCGGCGATTCAAATGTCACGCTGGCGTCCGCCGCAGCGGAACATTATCTTTATGCGGGAGAACGTCTCCGTGGACACGGTGGACGAGCAGTCGGATGTGCTCTGGTCGGATGTGCTGGCCATGGCCGATGCCAGTCAACCGATTGCCTGTGTGCCCATCGAGGCAAATGATCCGCTGTACATACTCTACACCTCGGGCACCACCGACAAACCGAAGGGTGTGCTCCGCACCATTGGCGGACATTTGGTGGCGCTGATGTACACGCTGAAGCGTATCTATGGCATTGGGCCGGGTGACACTTGGTGGGCTGCCTCCGACATGGGCTGGGTGGTGGGTCATTCGTACATTTGCTATGGTCCGCTGTGTCTGGGTGCCACCAGCGTCATGTACGAGGGCAAACCAGATCGCACGCCCGATCCAGGACAGTACTTTAGGTGAGTCAGAAGGTAGCTCTGGTCTGGAGCCTGTGGTTGATTCTCCCATTCTCTTATTCCAGAATCATCGATCAGTACCAGGTGCGTTCCATCTTCTCCGTGCCCACATCCTTCCGTGTCATACGTCGCGCTGATCCGGACATTAGCTATGGCCGTCAGTACTCCATGAAGTCGCTGCGTGCCATTTTCATTGCCGGCGAACACTGCGATTATGAGACCAAAATGTGGATAGAAAAGACATTCAAGGTGCCGGTGCTGAATCATTGGTGGCAAACGGAAACGGGTTCCGCGGTGACGGCTACCTGTTTGGGCTATCAGCAGAGTCTCACACCGCCCACCTACTCCACTGGTTTGCCCTTGATGGGTTATGATGGTAGGAGAAGCACTACAGTTACAGCTACAGTGTTTTACTCACTGTTTTACTCTCACTGTCTTCTAGTAAAAATCCTCAAACCCGATGGCAGCGAGTGTAAACCCTCGGAGCTGGGTCGGATTGTGCTGAAGTTGCCACTGCCACCGGGCAACATGGCCACGCTCTACAAAAACGAAGAGCTCTTCCGCAAATTGTACTTTCAAAAGTTTCCAGTGAGTTTTAATCCATTTTAGTCTTTCTCACACTGGAGTAAAACTCTCTCCGGCCGCTTTCAGGGCTACTACGACACCATGGATGCTGGCTACAAGGATGAACGTGGCTACATTTTCGTCACAGCTCGCGATGATGATGTCATCAATGTGGCTGGACATCGTTTATCCACTTCCAGCTTGGAGGATGCTGTACTCCGGCACCCGGATGTGGTCGATGTGGCAGTGTTTGGTGTGCCCGAACCCACCAAGGGCCAAGTGCCACTCTGCCTGTACATACCCGTCGAGAAATGCCGCAAAACGGATGCCAAACTCTCCACGGAGATCATTAAGCTCATCCGCGATGTAGTCGGACCCATTGCGGCCTTTCGGCTGATCACTTCGGTGAATAATCTGCCACGCACACGCTCCGGCAAGACGATGCGCAAGGCCATGGCGGACTTTGCACGCAATGAGCGAGTGGTCCTGCCCGCGACCATCGACGATGCGAGCGTCTTCACTGAGATACGACGGGCACTGCAACAGCTGGGCTATGCCATGTCCGCCCCAGATCCCATTGTGGCCAAGCTGCTGGACTGAAGAGGGGAACAGAACGCACAGAACCATTCCCATGAAAGATAAAATGTAATAAAATGTAAACTGAAAATTTCTCTGTGCTGTTTGCCATCGATTACTCTTCGCGCGTAGGCCGGGCGAATATTGTAATTTAAATGGTAATCGTATGGCCTACCGCCTCACCCGATCACGACTCTCTTCTGTCACACTATTTTCGCATACTCGTGGCACTCACCCAATCAGTTTATTCAAATTTTGTGCAAATTTCTGTGCGACATTGTTGGGCTGATTGTTTGGCCCCTGCCAGCACATATGGCATTTGCCACTGCATTATGCCGGGTCTACGCTGATGCTTGCTGTCGGTACATGAAAGATGGACAGCCTCGTGGCGTAACCCAATTAGTGTGGCAGTAAAGTTGGGTGGCAACAACCACCAAACAATATGGTGTATATGCCAGCAAAAGAACAGGGAAAAGGAAAAACATATGAAATCTTTGATGTGATTATCGCATTTATGAAATGGACTACGGAACTACTTAATGTTCGTTGTTGAAGAATAAGATTCGAAGACATAATACATGACATATGTACATATGTAGGAGTGCATGTTCTAGTGAAGTCCTCAGCTTTTTTACCTTTTTACGCTGCTTTAATTTTCTTACACTACTCTTTGATATCTCCATTCAGCTTGCTGAAGATTACTTGACAATTTCTGCACTGTATCGCATTTGGCAGCCTCATCTATCTTATGCTTAAATGCAGCTATTCTTCTTAATGTTTAGCTTGTAATACTAATACATTGCCTGCAGTAATACTCATTAATTTCAGCTCTGAATGATGTCTACCTTTAGGACAGTCCTTTAGTTTTTATAAGATATTTTGCGGTAACACATTCATTATGTTTTATCATCGGTAAGATCCTTTTTGTAGGCCTTTCTACCCATTCTTTTCCTCGTCATACAATTGGCAAAAAAAGGAATTACCATAAGTTACAGTGAAGGTCTTCCAACTCGATGACAAGCTTTTTTGACGAGAAATGCCTTGAGTCTTAGCACATTAAATTATAATGATTTTCCACTGACTTTTGGTCAATGAAGCAAGATACAAGAGCACGCAAATACAACGCAAATATTTCAACACATATTGCCTTAAAAATCCGTAAGAAAAAGGGACAAGAGCCACTTTGCTTAGCATTTTGTTGCTGTTATTTGTCAGTGTTCCGCTGCATTTCGTGGCTGGTGATGTACGTCTGACGTCACAGCCGAAAATGGCTGGCTGGAGGATGGTTAGATAGATGCTGTAATGCTTAGCATGCCAAACACGAACTGGATAAAATTAATTGCAGTGCTTCGTCTGCAAATCCCAGCATCATAAACTGAAGATTACATTTGCTTACGTACATTTTGAGGAGGAACAAACTGAAGTGCAGCAGCGTGAAGAGTCGAGAAACTTTAAAGTCAGCTCTTAAAGGCAGCCAGCAGAAGTCGTGCTGCCCATTTATGAGTACATTAATCTCTGTAACTACCTATAAATATTGGCCACTGATCATAAAAAGGCAGCAACTTTTTACAACATAATTAAGAGCTGATAAACTTATATAATAGATAAACATATTAGGCCACACGGTGGGGCTCTGCATATGCAGCGACTCTTCCCGTGCCCCTTCCCTTGCCCCTCTTGAGTGCGTCGCAAAGTTTTTGTGCTAAGTACACACAATGGCTGGGCCCATCGTGCTCTGGTCGTTGTCCGTGGCGTATGGGTAATATTTGTGCACGCCCACTAAGCAGTCAGGCAGGCACGCCGGGCAGCAGCGCAACATGTGGCATCTCATGCCCTACCTCCCCTACCATTTCTGTGTTTGCCTCAGCCAATGGCAGGGCAGTATCCTGCCGCAGAGGAAGTAAATAAAAGCGGATGTCCTGTCCGGATATAACATCATTCGAGTGCTTGCGTTCAACAAGTTCGTACGAGTCCAGTCCAGCCCAAAGGAGCCGCCCCAAAGCCAGTGACAAACGCGCTTAAATAAACTACAACTAGCTTAAATTCTCTGTCTTCGGAAGGCCCTCTTATATCCACAACTATTTTCAGGTTGGTATTACTTAGTGTCTCATTTGTGCAAAGTGATTGTTAGAATTGAGAACTGTAAGCTATGAGTATTAGTTTGCGATATTTGTTTAGCTTCGAGAGTAGCGCTTAGAAAACTTGGTTAAAGTTTGTAGATTTTAGAGTGCATAAATTAATGAGAAACTTATTATACCATTGTCTGTTGGCAGTGATAAAAGAGGAGCAGATTGAATTTAAATTCTTGAACATTATTACCAATATGTAAAATGTTTCAAAAAGTATTCATTATTCTCAGATTCTTCTTAACATGAGCACAAAAACCTTGGACGCACTTAAAGAACACTAGAAGATTTTATTAATCAATTATCTGCACAGTGTCCTTATGACATGGAAAGGAGTTAGAGCTCAGCATAGTCCATACATTAGTTTTTGAGGAGTGATTTTCAAGCAATTAATTTCTTTGAAAACGAGCGTATTCACTTATGGTAGAACGAATTTGATTGAATACGGCAGATAAGTATTTGTTGCTGAGCCAATAGTCCACTTGGTCCATGAAAGCTCTATTTTAGCTGACATCGGCCCTCAAGTCCTACATCAACAATGAGGTTAATCATTTTTAATGTGATATCCACCACACACATATCAAAAATTCATTTTTGACATCTGAATATTAGAGATTTTTAAATATTTTAAATTGAAACTGAAGATAATAAGTACGAGTATTTGTTGCTGAGTTTTAGACTTTTTGGCATCTTAAAATGTAACTTAAAATGTGTTAAGAGTAGAGTTAGAAGCAACACCATAAATGCCAAGAAATATTTATTCTAATGGGTTTTTAAGTATTCATGTTTTTTGAAAGGCTTTTAAATGGTAATATCTAAGTGTTTGTAGCTGGCAGAAATGTTTATTTTTATCAACAAAAGATATTCAGTATACAAATGTACCCATTCCCCATTTGAGCCCCTTCCCTTGGCAATGACTCTACTAAGGCTCTTGTTTCTGCATGCGCTGCACATTAGTTGAGCCTTCGACAGTCCTCCCCAAACAAGCGCCAGAGCCTTGGAACGTGCCCTGTGGCGCATCTTTTTTTTAATTCTGCAACATGGACTACACCCACTTGCAGCCACCCAAGCTCACAGCTACAGCCACACCCACTCTCTGGCAGCCTTCGGGGCAACGTTCGCTTCTAAGCTAAGCAGCTGCACGCTCCACACGTTCGTATGTGCCACAGGGCACACACACCTGTAGTGTTTATTTGTCCACTTGCATTGTCACACGGTGCGTATGAGTGCGACGGCTCATCAGCATCCCATCACTGATGATGGCCTGCGCCATTCCGGGCAAAACATATTGTTGGGATAATGGAAACAAATTGTCTGCCGCGTAAATGTATTACAGGAGCATTAGAGCCCTGCGCTCTCCTGGCTGAGGGGGGATTTAAAATGTATTCAGGGGCAAACAGACATCAGAGCCGCGAGCTTGCAGTAGTAAGACATTGTCCTGGCAACGCGTAAGGCAATCAGGCACGTAGCGTTAAGATCATTACACTTAATCAAAATTAGTTCGGGGTTGAATGGATGCTACTGTGTTTGCCCTAGAGCCAGGATATGCATACCGCAGCTGTGTGTCCTTGCTGGCTGTTAATCGAATGCTACTGACATTTTCTTCTGCTTCTGCTGCAGCATGTCCTTTGCACAGTTCTTTGTCGCCTGCTGCCTGGCCATTGTACTGGCGACTGTGGCCAATACCCAAGCGGCAGCCACCCAGGGACCGCCCCTATGCCAGTCGGGCATTATCGAGGAGATGCCGCAGCACATCAGGAAGGTGTGCATGGCACTGGAGAACTCCGACCAGCTGACATCGGCCCTCAAGTCCTACATCAACAATGAGGCTTCAGGTGAGCCAGAGAGACCCTCTTTATGCTCATAGAATTCCTGTTTATATTTTATTTGATTTTATTTTGCAGCTCTGGTGGCCAACTCAGACGATCTGCTGAAGAACTACAACAAACGCACGGATGTGGATCACGTCTTTCTGCGTTTTGGCAAGCGTCGTTAGGAGCTGGAAGCAAATGCCGGCCAGACACAGTAACCAAATTCGACCTCGGACCCAACCACGACACGACCACACAGCAGGACCTTGACCAAAACGACAAAAGCGAGCGGCAAAAAGCGTTTCTGTTTCCACAGAGCACACAATTGTTTTGTTTTTTTGGCGTCTCCAGCATAGTTATGTAAATGTAATCAATGCCAATGCCAAACACACAAAACTTATTCAATTGGAAGCTCTCTAGTTCATTAAATAGCAAATCGATGTATCCAATCCAGTGTCTCTACTAGAAAAAACTTGCACATAAAAAAACCCAAAAAACAACACACACACACATGCATATTTGTACATACTCAAAGACCCCCGAAAAAACATTCTAGCGAAAGTTGATCTTTTTCCTTTCAAGTTTTCTTTTGGTTTTCTTTTTTTTTGTTACGCTTTGATTTCTGTTTTGATATTTATTAATATTCATGAATACAAATGAAATGTTACAGTTACAACAAAAATATCTCACAAATATTTCCCTAGCATGAAGCACTATTAAGTATTACGAGTAAATATCAACAGCAATTGTTACTCCACGATTGGGTTTTTTCTTCAATAAAGACAAGTTTTTCCTCTCAATTTTATGTGAATGCATGACAAAATGCAATTGAAACTCTGGCATTTTCGTCTTGAAGGGGTTTATTATCGGGTTGGGATTTATATAGTTGCGAAGATAGTTGATAAATATTGGGACATTCAATTCGGGCAACAGATTGTTGGGATAATGTAAGCAAATTGTGACTACTTAAATTCGAATAGTCGCTGAGATTAGAATCCTGTGCTGGGATTTGGTAAGTTTTCTCCTTTATTTTGTGGAAATATAAACTTTATTTTTTGACGGCTGCAGCTATTTTATTTAAACAGCCAAAGTAACGGCCTCTTAATCAAACGGACTGTATTATTTCACAGATGCATAATCATAGTTCCTTACTCTTTTGCTATTTTCTCAGATATTTGTTTGTAGGTATGTTGTGAAAGAATGTCTAGGGAGATTTATAGCTATCATTACAGATAATTTCCCATTAATTAATATGAAATTATTTGGATCAGACAATTGAATACCAAACCAGGAACGGATTTCCACTTGGTAAACATCGAGTTGTTTTTTTTCCTTCTTAAAATTCTAAGTTTTCTCTAAGATTTCTCTCCGACATCCCAAGCAGATCTCAAATCCAGGGAACATTGCCAAACATGAAATCAATGTTTGATCTTTCAGCAGTCGCATGTGTTCTTCGATGATATTTTAGCATAGATCACCTTAAATTGGAACACAATGCATATGAGTAGGTATATTTTATAAATAAATTCCGATAAATATTAATCAGAATAATACTGTATTCTTTTTGTTTTCGTTTAATTTCTTTTTTAATGGCACTTTTAGTTCGTTTCCCGCATTATTTATTTTTTAACTGAACTCAGAATTAATCGAAAAAGGTTTTTTTATTCGTAGTCAAAATAGCAAACGAATAGATTAATGTATATTTTGTATATTCTCATTAAATTGTAGATCAGTATGCGTAACGCTTATATCACTGATATTATCACTCCATTCAGATATAGGTCTTGCTGCAGGTTTTTTGTTAGCAAACATTTAGATAATTTAGTTTTTAGTTTTATGTATTAAATTTCACTTTACTTAGCTGCACTCGAAATTCTTCAAAGTTAATAAAATGTGCTCTAAATTATTGATAAATATATGACTTATTGACGATATATCGCGGCACAGAGAAGTACTCAAGGTACTAATTCAAAATGTTCTGAAAACTATACACTGAAATGTTGTTAGCTGGAGCAAACTTTTGGATGGTAAATATGTTTTGTATGTATATTCTTAATAAATTATATAGGGTTCCGCAGATCGCTGATATTTTTCTCCATGGTATTTTTTATTCAGCCTTTTCACTACTTTTGTACTTTGCTGGAAAAAAATCATTAAAAATGTGCATTTAATTGCATTATATTCTGGTTGTTGCCATTGTTTGTAAACGATTTTATTGAAAATCAAATAAAAATTAAACAAATAATAGAATAAGTTAAATCAAATCATTTGACATAAAAACGTGAAATAAATGTTGTTATCTGAACTGATTTCTTTATATGTATATAAAATAAAATATTTATGTCATTAACAAATGGTTTATCTTTGTCGGATATCTGAACATTTCAGTTGATATTCGGATTCACTGATCTCTCTTTTCTTTGTATTTTAAATTATTTCTTTTTAAAATCATCTTTTATGGAGCACTTTTGCTCCGATTGCTAGTGAACTTGATCAGTTCTGGATTTAAATTCATTCATAATAAATTCGTTCGTTAAAGTTTTAATCAATTTCGAACATGTAGTAAAATTTCAAAACTAAAATGAATTCTTTTTTTGACTAGAAGTAAATTGTTTTTTAAAAATGAACTTCAGTTTTAGCTTTATATTTGTGGAGAGAATTGTGTCTCTTGGGTTCAGTCTTTTCGATCTTTAATCATATGTATTAATCATTTATATTTGCATCACCTTAGCATGGCCTTTTGTAAGGGCTAGTTCAATTATTCGTCTTGCTTTTTCTTTTCTTTGCTTTTCTTTTTGTAAACTATAACAAACAAAATCATCGTATACATAAACAAAAATATAATAACATAAAAGGGGAACATGGAAAACAAAATATTTCATATTTTCAGTTTTTGTTGGTTTTTTTGTTTTGTTTTGGTTTTTTTGTTACTTGTCATTTTCAAAGTGTTGTGTTTTTGATTTAATATTACCACCATTGACAAATCCATTCTTGTTCGTTTCCTTCACACTTGATAAGCGTTATATTAAACGCTATCAACGCTACTTTGTTAACTTTGCTTTCTCAGTCCTGTAAAAAAACAACTAAATGCTACAGTTTTATAGGGTAAAGTGCGGCAAAAGGGCCGACCTTTGGGTTTTATGCCGAACTCAGCAGCGTCTTAAGTTTGTTATGGAGAGAAGATATCACAGATAAAAATTGTAAATATCGGACAAACTTATGAGTACGACTCTAATAGTTTTTTGTTTGCCTGCTGAGTTCTACATGAGCTAAAAAATGTTTTTTTATATGATAAATTGTTTTGGCTTCAATCTTAACTTACCAAAGAATGATTAAATAGTTTTAATATTCATTTCGTTTTTGTACTTAAAGCTTTCTCAATTGTCAATTGTCAATCTCTCTCTCTCTCTGATTCAGATATTTATCTAATTGTTTGAAATTTAAACGCGACGCTAGGGACTGAATCGTAGAACATTTCAAAGCGTATTTGGCATTATCTTTCTCTTCTTTTTCTTGTTCAGATTTGACTTTTTGTGGTAAGTTCTTGTTCTTTTTTGCACTTGAGTTTTCTTTTTTTTTTTTGGAAATACTTAATACTGGAGTGGTTGAGAGTTTTTCGTTATCTCTGATAAGTCTTGAATTTGTATGCTTGTAGTTTTTACTGCGCTGCTTCGCTTCGTGAATTTTTCAGTCTTTTCTTTTCGTTTCGTTTCTCTTTTTGCTTTCGATTGGGTGTTTTTTGCACTCCATTTTTTTGTTGGTATCTTTAAGCTTATTTATTTAAACAGAATAATAGTATATAGTATTTGTTTTTGGTTTTGTTTTACGAAATAATAATAATATGTAGGTGTAAATAAGTTTAATGCATTACACACATTTTTGAACATTATTTTATTGACTTTGATAATTGTTATGATTTTTGCATCTTTTGCTAATATATTTGTTTGTATATTTCGTCACTTTTTTCCTCAGGCTTACTTAATATAAAGAGTTACATATAAATACGTGCTTTTTGTTTTTGCTTAAATTGTGGCTACGAGTAAAGTTTGTTTCTTGGGATAGAGGGTGAGAAAAAAACAAAAAAGAAATAAAGTGTCTGGTTCTTTGTCAAAAATCTTGCAAAATCATAGCCGATTCCAGTTGCTGCATAAACACCTTTGAATGCTTAGAGGTTTTGGGGTTCTCTGTTTCAGTGTAGGTTTTGTTTTTGAGCTTAACAGCTAAAATCTACTGATACATCTGATTGTATTCTTCTGTATGACATGACATGATTTACAATATATAAATTTTTAGTTTTATTTCAGTTCAGTATCCAGTAATTCGGATCGCGACTGTTTTACTCTTTCAGTTGATGTAAAAAAATATGATTATTTAAACATACTTTTGGTCACACACTTGAATTGTAAATTGTAAAAAGAGAATCTAAGAGCGGTTTTTTGGCTGGAGCACAAGGCTCCGTTTGTCCACGAACAAAACATTAAACAACAGGCGGGGTTGGGAAAATCAGCGGGGAAACAAGGCAAAATAACAGGCGGGAGAAATGTGATTTGATTCGGTTAGGTGTAGAATATTGATTGGAAAGAGACGCGCAGCAATGCTTGGGAGTTATGCTTAATGTCTAAGAAAAGAAGAACTTTTTGTCCTTAAAACTAAAGTTATATATGTTAAGGGTGTGTGTGTTTTGGGTGTGAGTGTGTGTGGTATTTGTATTATTATTTTATATATATATAGCAAATTAATTATGCATTAAACATATACCTTCTTCCTTCTCTTTCTTCATTTATGTTTATACTTTCTGCCCTTAAATCCCATTTTTTATTTGGTTACTTGACCGCCCATCATCGGAGCACGCGCAGCGTTCTTTTACTCTCTGTTCTGGGTTGGTGTCTGGCCACTAGGGTGTTGTGGGTGAGGAGACGGTTATGCGGTTGTCTAGTAGTAAGCGGCGGCATTCGAATAGTTCTGCGAATAAGCCTGCGAGTCTGCAAGTAGAGCGGGTAAGGGTGGTTGATGGGAGGCTACAGGCAGCGCGAGCAGTTCACATACCATAGCCTGCATAGGCTCTCTCGTCGTAGCCGGCGGTGCTCTGCTGTCCATGCTGGCTGTAGTCCGTCTGCCCAGTCGCATTGTAATCCACAGCCGTTGATCCATACTGCTGGCTGTAGTCCTGGCTGTACGAAGGATAGCGTGTATCCTGCTGTGCGGCATAGCCCGTGGAGCTGTTTGAACGCAGAACGTTATTAGAATGAATTATCTTTGAATTTAAGGTCTAGAGTGTAGAGTGTAGAGGAGGCAACCCACTTGTAGCTCTGATACTGGCTCTGATCGTATTCGGTGCCATGTGTGGCATAGCTGCTGCTGGCTGGTGCACTTGTCTGAGATGCGTGCGCTGCATAGCTGCTGCTGCTCTGGCCATAGCCATTGTAGCCCTGCTGCGAGGTCGATGCGCTGTAACTGCTCTGCGCATACGGATCGACCTGCTGTGTCTGGTCGTGGGTCTGATAACCATGATGGCTGCAGCCAGGAAAAGTTGTGCGTTAGTTGTTGCTTTGGAGATGCTTTCGTGGGTGATTATATTACCTTTGAGCCGATGAATGATGGCTGGGAGCCGAGCCGTAGGATGACTGCGAGGCCATACCGCCACCGCCGCCGCCCATATGCTGTTGAGAGTTATGATATTTGGGTGTCATGGGCCGCTGGCCGTAGGGACCACCCTCATAGCGTCCACGCTTGGGACCAGGACCACCGGGTGCGCCACGTTTGAGAGCTGGTACCGGTGCAATTTGTGTATTGGGATTATGTGCCTGATGGTGATGCATGGGTGGCCGACTCATACCTTGATTGTACCCGCCTCGGCCACGGGGTGCCCCACGTCGTGGCATTTGTCCGTGATCGCCCCCAGGACCGCCTCCCATTGAGTTGCTATGATGCGAATGCGGACCACCGTACATGCCGCCTCCACCGCCTCCTCCACTGCCATTCATATGTGGATTATAACCACCGCCGCGACCGCGTCCACTAAACGGACCGCCGCGTCCACGACCACGTCCCAGGTATGGTGGAGGTCCTCCTCCACCACTACCTCCACCGCCACCACCATTGCTGCCTGGAGCACTGCTGCTATGTGAGTTGTTGGACACAGATGCTGGCGCCGGAGTCTGGGCATCTGTGGTCTCCTGCTCTCCGGTGGCTTCGCCGGCCTGTGACTCGCCAGACGCCGCTGTTGTGGGCACGGGCGACACCGTCTTGTTGTTGTCGGCACCTGTGTGTTGTTTGGGAGCTGCTTACGACCGTATAAATGGGATTTACATTGTGTTCTAAGGTATTTTATGCTATTAACTATCATCTGTGGGGGCTGTGCACTTACGTTGTTGGTACATGGGAGGACGTCCGCCTCGCATGCCCATAGGAGCGCCGCCGCGGGGCTGGAAACCGCCGCGTCCCTGGTAGCCCATTCCTCCTCTGGGTCCACGCATGCCGCGCGGAGGGCCCGGCATCATGCCCTGCATTCCCGGCGGTCCACCGCCCATACCGCCGCGCATGCCACCCATAAAGTGACCGCGACCACCGCGTCCACGGCCACGGTCGAATCCGCCGCGCATGGGAGCGCCCCCGCCGCGTCCGCGAAAGCCACCACCACGTGGGCCACCAACTGACGGGGATGATACTTGTGCTCCTTCCATGCTCCTCGTCTATATATTATTTTATTATCGCACAAAAACACCAGCACTGGGACACACACACACACACAGAGTCACACGCAGAAACACACACACAGTCGCGGGACTCGAACGCACACTGGCAGCAGCACGAATGGGGAAAGAAGAAGAACAGAAATGCCGGAGATTGCTATTCGAAGCGTTTATATCATGCAACTTGGACAATGCAACTGTGTGGAAACGCTCTTAAGTGCTGCAGAACACTCTAATCACTTGCGGCAATTGTTTACTTGTATTAACTTATTTAACTAAACATATTTGGGGGAGTCTGAAGCGCGTTTGTTCTGTCGTTTCATGTGAAAAAATATGGCGGCTATTGATTTTTGTCTTTTTTTTTGGTATTTACTAGGCTCATTCCGAGTGACTGTTCAAACTTAACACCCTGAACGCCCGCTTTTTAAATAGGTAATCACTTTCTCCAAATTGGCGAAATAAAACTATTTGTAAATGTTTATTGTAGCCACCCATCCCTCCTGTTTACGAATAAATTCAAATGGACACCGTTTCATTCAGCTAAACTGCGTTAAAAGTCTTTAAGTTTCATTAATTTCTTAGTTTGCACTTAAACACCCATTGGTCAACAGAAGGTTAATCGGTCTCGGTCAGTGACATATTTACTCGATTAAATATTATGTTTAATATTGCCATCAAACTAAGACTCTCAGCCGTGGAGATACAATTTTCTGCGATTGTACAATGCACTCGCCACAAGATTGACCTACTCTTCTTGACTCTTTTATTAGATTGCTTACAAAAATAAAGATTTAGCTGAAAGGTTTAGAAAAAAAAACGAAAAAAAACGCAATACCGCACGCTGGTATTTAGTCGCTATCCGATTGCAGTCACACTAAGAACTAGGAAAATGGAAAACACAAGTTAAAAAAATTGATTGGCAGATTTAGCAACAAATTGGTGAAAAGGAGCGAGCGAGCGACGTGACAAGATGCCTGGCAAAGTGGGTGTGAAAATCAAGGCGGCACGCAATTTGCCTGTCATGGACAAGAGCAGCGAAACGACGGATGCATTTGTTGAAATCAAATTAGCCTCGGTGACCCACAAAACGGACGTGTTCCGCAAGAGCCTGAATCCCACATGGAACACAGACTGGTGTGTGTTTTGTTTAATGTGCTCCCCTATCTAAATACATTCATAATTCTTACGTATGTTTCAAGGTTTCGCTTTGAAGTGGATGATGCTGAGCTGCAGGATGAGCCACTGCAGATACGACTGATGGACTACGACACATATTCGGCCAATGATGCCATTGGCAAGGTGAACATTAGCTTGAATCCTTTGTGCCTGGAGAGCTCTAGTCAGGCGGTGCACGGCAAGGGCACTGTCCTCTCCGGTTGGATACCAGTCTTTGACACAATGCACGGCATTCGTGGCGAAATCAATGTGATAGTCAAAGTGGATCTATTCTCTGATGTCAACAAGTTTCGTCAAAGTTCCTGCGGCATACCCTTCTTCCACTGTGCGTAGTTTTCTTTGCCTCTTTTGAGCTCTTTTAATTAAGAATTTTCCTTTGCAGCCCAATGTGTTCCATTTGGTTATCGCGCTCAAGTCATACATGGCTTTGTTGAGGAGCTGGTGGTCAACGATGATCCGGAGTACCAATGGATTGACAAAATACGCACACCACGCGCCTCCAACGAAGCGCGGCAAGTTGTCTTCCTGAAGCTGTCCGGCCAGGTGCAGCGCAAAATGGGCTTAAAGGCCATCAATATGGGCGCCAATGCGGTGATCGGTTACACGCAATGCTTTGACCTCGAGGGCGATGTGGGTGTGGTGGCACGCGGCGTGGGCACAGCCGTCACACTGATCAAGGACACAAGCAGCAGTCAGCCAAATAGCGCCGATGTGGTGCTCATAGAGGAGTGAGTATGCCAAATACGAGAAAACTTTCAATTGGAAATGGAAGCCTAAATTTGTACATACTTTAAGTGTTTATTTTTTGCTTTAATTATTCGTTTTGTAGTCGTTTTTGTAGGTGCGAGCAAATGTGCCTCAAATTTCCAACAATGTTCTAAAGCAAATTCTTTTCTTCTCTTGAACATTTTTTACCCCCACACCGATCCAATCTCTCTCGATATCTCTCCCTCTCTCTCTGTAACAAACTCGCTCCTTGTCGTATCGTTTTGCACGCACCAAAATATTGTTGTTGTTGTTCTTTTTGTCGTCTCGTATTTTTGTGTTTGCATCCACACACACGCCCCCACCCACCATCCCACGCGTAGATTGGCCCAAAAGTATCTCGACTTTCTCAACTGTGCGGGTGCGAGCAGCTTGAGTCTGCCGCTGTCCGGACGTACGCCACAATATCGTCTCAACATATGCCGGCAGCCCACAGCAGCCGCGGAGGCAGCGGCGGCAGCAACGTTGTTCTACATCGAAAGTGCCAGCAGTGACACAGAGGATGCGGATCTCATGCAGAATCTCATCAGGCAGGAGGACGAGCGCGGTGAGCGGATTCGCGAGAAGAAGCTGAGGCATCGCATGCGCCGTCTAACGCTCTCCTCGCGCAATGTCTTCAGCGAGAAGTATGCCACGCTGATACGACGCATCGAGCCAAAGATACCCGAGAATGCCACACAATCGCTAAGCAGCATCTTTGGCGGCAGCGGTGGAGCAGTCACGGCACCGTCCAGCTTTCGTCAGCGGCGTCGCAGGTCGCGATTTCCCCTGAACATGAAGGCCAGTCCCCCGAACATTGTGCGCTCCATAAGTAACGATACGGGCGTGCGTCCCAGCCATGTGACAGCCAGCCAAAGTTTTCTCACTGTGCCCGGTCTGACGGAGTTTCAGGAGAATACGCGCTCAGCGCCGGACTTGCCAGTGGATGAGGAGTTTATGCAGCTAAAGAGCGGCCGCTCCTTCACGTACTCCACGGACTCCGAGGAGTCATTGCAAATTGCTTTACTCCCGCCCGATAGCAACGGCGAAGAGTCGCTGGAGGAGGAGAATCTGCAGGACAATTGGATCAGGCCGGGCGAGACGCGCAGCTGTGAGAATAGTCAGCCAGATCTCGGACCGAAGCACCACAACTTGCTAGAGGATTTGCGCGGCTTCTCGCGACGCCTGCAGCAGCTGATGCACCTGAAGCCAAAGGACATACCGCTCGAACTAAAACCCAAACATCCATCCTTTATGCTCTCAATGGAGTATAAGCCTTACTACAGCTCGCATCCAGAGCTGCCGACATGCTGCAACGATGAGGGTTGGCTGGGCAGCACCAACCTGAACACATCCAGCTCCATGCTGCAATTGAATCATTTGCCCAGCTACGGAAAGAGCGCCATGCAGCGCAGTGTTTCATTTAATAATTTGGGCACAGTGGCAGCTGTTGCACCACCGAACACGTTGCTGCTTAATGCACCGCCAGAGCTGCGTGTTTGCCCCTCGACCCCGACACCCCAGACACCGCCCACAAAGTCCGAGCTACTAGTACCACCCTCCGCCTTTGATTTTAATCCTTTTGTTGTTCTTACCAAATTAGATCATTCTGTAAATATATCTAATAGTACTAACCTTAGTAACAACAATAATGAATCATCATTGCTTGCTCCATTTGCCATACAACAACAACAACAACAACAACTTAGGTCCAGCACTGAGACAGCAGTAGCAAACGCAGCACAAGCCACGCCACCACCAGCATCGTCTGGAACAGGAACTGGAATGGGAACTGGAACGGGAGCTGGTTGGCGCTTGCCCTCGCCCGTGAACAGCAGTCGTTTGAAGTTGACACCAAGTCCATCCAAGAGTGGCATATCGGCGGCCACAAATGCCGACAGTGCTTCCACATCAACTGCATCGACAGCCACTACAATGGTGCCGGCCACAGTTGGAGAGATTTGTCGTCGCTCCTCTGACTCTGATTTGAGTGTCACGCCCAAAGGTATGTGCGGGGATTAGCGACTAAGGATGGGAAATCTAATCTTAGTTTAAGGCTTTTGTTTTAAGCGTTAGCCAACCCTGCCAATTGTCTTGTGTCCGTGTGTGCGCGTGTGTGTGTGTGTCCCAGCTCTTGGGTTTCTTTTTGCGTAACTTTAAGTAACAGTTAAACGCCGTTCTCTTTCAACGTTCTCTCTTTGCGTCGTCTGCTGCTGCACACCGGCAACACCACAGGCTTTGCCTTTACATTCCTTCATCGCAAGCGTAAGTAGCTGGCTCACTCTCACTCTCGCTCTCTCTATGTCTAAGTAACTGTTTCTCTCGATGTCTAACTAAGCCTCTCTTGATGTCCATCTCCATTCTTGATGTTAATTGTGTGTTGTCTAAGTGTGTGCCTGCTTTCCACTCTCTCTGCCTATATCTCACTCTCTCTGTGGTTATTCGATGTGTTCTCCTTAATCCCATCACAAAACTGTCTCTTGCGAATGCTTCATCCGTTTTAACGATATACAGCCATTAATGTGTGTTCCTTAACTAGGATAATTTAACGTCAAAGTGGAGCTATTTAGAAATGAAATAATGTACTCGGGTGGAGCCCGAGTCCCAGGGCTCTATTTGCCTTATTCCAAATACCAAATGTGTATGGAAAATTTTGCACAGAGATTCCATGTTATTCGGCGAATCTTTTATAGCAAAATAATTCATCGAAGAAGATGATTTGCGCCTCAGTGGAACAAAGCACTACCCTGCATGAATCCTCAGATCGCTAAATAATGATCATAATAAATTACCACTACAAATCCTGTAGCTATGAAGACGGATAAGAATTTATTAGGACGTTGACTGCGCCATCAAGAAGTGACTCAAGGCAACCGCAAGTCGAAGCTTCATATGAACAATCGGCTATACCAGAAAAAGAAACTGGCAAACCGATCGAGGTGCGCTGCCGCATGACGCGTGACCCAAACGGTCGAATGAATACAAGATTGATATTTCGAGCTAAGTCAATTGATGAAAAGCGCAGATAAAACCATCGCTAGATCGACTTGAACTTAAACAATGAATAACTAATTTTCGTTCATTACATATCGCATACCCCAACCACTTCTAAGTCTCCCCCCCACTCTCTAGACCTAAGATGACTCTGTAAATATACATAAATGTATTCCCATTCTACAGCAAAATGGTTGTAATCCCACCCACGAGCGATACTTCCATTGATTCTCTTGCTTCTGCTTCAAATTCAATTCACAGGCAACTCAATTTGTGTGGCCAGCGAGCGTCTGGTGGCTGCCACGGCAATGATGCGTCTAACGCAGCCCGCTGTTGGGGCCAAGACAGGCACCGCAGCGGATAGCCTGGACATGCTGGAGTATCCGTTTCTGACCATGACAAAGTACCCCACGGGCTTCATACTCCATCTGGGAGCGACAGTGGCTGCGAGTTCGGTGAAGCTGCTGGAGCGTGTGCCAAATCCGGATGAGCCCGAAGTGCGGGACAGCTGGTGGACGGAGTTGCGCATGGAGATACGTTCGCACGCGCGTTCCCTAGGCTGTAATGTGGTCTTGGGTTATGCGGAGGCGACAACCATATCGTAAGGAATGCCATCAACAAACTCTCCTTAAATAATCCTCAAACCTTGCTTGCTTGCAGCGATGATGTTTGTGTTTTATCTGCCACTGGCACAGCGGCCGTCATCAATATGGTGTTCAATCGTTCGGTGTCGCAAACCGATCTGTATGCCATGTCCAAGGCCACGACGGGCAATGCCATGACAAATTCCCTGGAGGAGGCAAATGGCAGCAGTAGCGGCGAGCCGAGTGCCAGCAAGGACAGCGGCTCCGTGGGCACTGGCAACAGTTCGGGTGGCAAACGTTACGGCATGCCACCGCTGAATGGACCGCGCAATGCCTGCGCCATCTGCCACATACCCTACAACCTCAGCTCCGTGCCGTTCAATGTAAAGATGAAGAAATGTGCCATTTGCCGCAAGGGACGCGTGCCCGATGTGCTGCTTGCCACGCTGGAGGTGCCCGAGTATATGCAGGTGACGGGACGCGGCTGCTTCATGCAGGCTCAAGTGGTGCGCGCCAAGCGGGATCTGCGAGCCGAACTTAATGCCAAGGAGATATCCGACGGGTTGCCATTTCTGGAGTACGAACTGCATCGCGTGCTGATCAACAAGCTCAAGGCCAAGGGCATGAATGCAATTTTCGGGCTGCGCACCCAAGTGGCCATTGGGGAGCGCATGATTGCCTTGATAGCCACGGGCACGGCACTCTTCCTCACAGCGCTGCCAGTGCCACAGGTGCCGAAAATAGTCGCCGGCAACTCGTGGACGGACAAGCAAAAGTTGAATGAGTTGCAAAAGAAATTGCAGGAGACGTTCGAGCGCAATCAGGAGATTTATCAGCTGAAAAGCTTGGACCCCGACTTGGCTGCAAATGCGACACCAGCAACGGGCGCTTCTGGCGATAAACAGTCGGACACGGACGACTCGGATGAGGAGGAAATGAACGAAATCGATTTGAATTGCGGCAACAAAGAGCTTTGTGTGCTGGAAGTGGATGATATAGAGGATCTGGAGATTATATCGCTGCTCATGGAACCGTATCCCCCCGAGGGCTTCCACGTGGTCAACACACAGCAGGTGCCGGGCATGCTCGAAATGGACACGGTGAAGAATTTGCAAATGTTTACACAAGTGTGGCGTGCGCGTCTGGAAGTGGGGCAAAGTGTCAATGGATTTCCCAAACACTTTCAGCGGTGAGTAGCTGGAGTTTTCCCCTCCTAAGTGTAGCCACTAAACTGATCTCCCTTTGGTCCACAGTTTGCTGCAGACGATCTACTTTAAGCTGCGCACCATGATACCCTGTGCCATTTGCGATTTACGCTTTAGGCTGGAACTGCCCGAGTCGGTAAGTGGCGGGAAGCATTCCCCCTGACATAAAAACTGCATTTATTTCTGTCTCCTTTTAGGATCAAATTCAACTTCTTGTCACTGGCATGGCCATGGGTCTGAGCGATGCCAATAAAATGAAATATCGTCGACGACCGGCGCAACCACAGCAGAATGGCTTCCATGAGGCTGCCACCACAGTGCATGCCGCACACTCCCAGCCCGAGCTGGCAAATGGCAAACGTATGCTGCAGGAAGAGGATTACATATTCCCACTGGATGAGGATCAAATGGTGGACACACCGACACCAACCAGCACAGCCATACCGCCGTTTGGCATGAGTTCGTTTAAAATGCGCAAAACATCGCCCTCGCGTCTGGGGAATCTTTCCTCGGGTGTGCCGCCATCCTCCACAGGCATCAAGTCGCTGAATTTGGGCACAACAGTCTCCAGGAATCGTTATGTAAGTGTGAGACCATCACTGGCTATGGATAGCTAATTAATTCGTTTTCTTGCAGTTCCCTTTGCGCGATCGTTATGGCGTGGACTTGACTCCGCTGAGTTTCATACCCGGCGGACGCATTGAAAAGTATTTGGGCAACCTCAACTTCTTCTTTATACGGGAGAGCACTTCAATACGTGAAATTGGCGGCATTAGTGGCTTTGTGCATGGCTTCATCACCGAACTGCTGGCAGTGGTGCGTGCGCACATAGCATCGTTGGGCGGCAATGCCATGGTCTCCTTTTACATCACCGAATTGATATTGTTTGATAATCAGCACAAGAATCAGGTAAGCAAAGCACCGTTAAACCATGCACAGCTGTTTTTATTAATCCTTTTAACCCGTTTTTTTTCTCTGTTCTAGGGCCAGTGTTTGATTAGCATTGGCGGCGATGCCGTTTATGTGAGCTATTACTCTGATGACTGATATAAGCGCCTGAGGGGCATCTAGCGTTCGTTTTACGCGAATCGCCCCAAAAGCCTCTGCTACTGATGCCAAATCCCCGCTCGCTTCCTCTCTATTTGTCTCTCTATTTACTTCAGCATGGGTTAAAGGTGTGCGCATGCAAGGTGTATTTACTTACAAGGTTAATTCTGCAGTCTGCCTGGGCGTGGTGAATAAGTTATTGGACAACTTCACCTTGTAGGTAAATTCACCTTGCGCTAGCTCTATTTATATGCTCTTTAGCGGTTGGTTAGTGGAATTTCTGTATGCAATATTCGAACTGTGACGAAACAACGTTCTTTTTACTTAACTTAGTAGTGTGAATTATATTCTTGGCCCTTGTTATTAATTGTTTCTAGTGTTTAAAGCAGCCAAATGCAATTTTTCTGTACATAGTCTAGTGGATGTGTTTATTGAATTTAGAACACCTAAAAACACACACGATACGATCCATATATAATATATGATATATACGCTACAACTTGTTGCAACACCTACAAAAACATGACACACACAATTCGTGCTCCGCCTCGTTGCAGCTGTAGCCCCAAATTTGGCTACAGCAGCGAAGGCCCAGGACGTCAGCTTATGTATAAAATATTTAAATAATTGCAAAATAAAACAATTGCTCAGATAGTTTAACCTATGACCTCTTAGGCTTAATTGGGCGTCGTGGAGAGCAGCACAAACATCACCCAAAGATGCAGCAGCGCCACATAGACAATCACAGAGACGCGCATCATCGGATAGCGACGCAGAAAGGTGCCCACGCGTATGCCCATTGAGTCGGCCTGGCGTAGAGCACGCTTAAAGCGACGGGCCACACGATTATCAAACGGACTAGGATGCATCAGCACCGGGAACTGAGCCTTGGCTGTGGGAAGGAACGGAATTAATGCTGATATAAGTTCGGGAAGCAACTAAGGTTTACCCACCATCATCTGTGCTGTTTGAGAGCATGGAGGAGTTGCGGTTCCCTCGCTGCTGGCTCTCAATCTGCACCATGTGCTGCTTCTGTTGCAGTTGCATTTGTATTTGCTCGTGCTGCAGGCGTAGAGCATTCCGTTCGCCCGTCACACGTTCCAACAGACCCTGCCGCTCGACCAGCGACTGTGTCAGCGCCTTCAGTCGGCTCTCGTAGTCGTTCTTGGCACTGGTGTGCACCTCTCCGCTGAGACGCTGCCGCAGCTGCTGCACCTGTTGCTCGCGTTCCTGCAGGCGTGTGGCGGCGGCGGCCATTTGATTGCTGAGCTGCTGCCGCATCGATGCCAGCTCCTGGGTGAGCATGCGCTGCTCGGATTCGGCATTTAGACTGTGTTCGCGGGCCTGTCGCAGCTCCTTGGCCAGAGATTCCTCCCGCTGACGCGCAGAGCTAAGCTCCAGTTCGCGTTGCTGCTCCTGCGCCACGTTATCCTCCAGCTGCAGGCGCATTTTGTGCACTTCTTCGTGGGCATGTTCCAGCTCCTGCTTTAGTGCCTCGTATTCGATTTGCAGCAAACGACTCTCACTGTCCTTTGCCTCTCCACTTGTCTCTTCTGAGGGCTTTGCCTTGAGCTCTGCTATGAGCGCATCCTTGGCCTGCAGCGCCCGCTGTGCCTTGGTGCGGTACTCGTGAAGCTCGAGGCGATGCTGCTCCGTCTCCTTGGTTTGCATTTGCAGTTTGTTCGCCGCGCTCATGTACTCCTGCTGCAACTTGGCCAGATTCGTTTCCAGCTCCGAGATGGAGTGCACGTACGCCATGTGTGCGGTGTGGGCATCGTTTAGATCATGCACTGCCTTGTCCCGCTCCTCGGACAGTGTCTGTGCTAGAGTCTCCAGCTCCTGGGCGCGCTCCTGCAGCGCCAAATTCTCGCTGTCGTGGCTCAGCTCGTGCAGCCGCAGTCGCAGCTCGTCCCGCTCGGCGGTGATTTCGTTCAGGGCGATCTTGAAGGCCGCCAACTCATGGGTGTCGGCCATGGCGCTGCCATAGCTATCAGGATTCGTGGAGAAGCTGGCGGATGTGGTCATACGCTTGCTCATTTCCTTGGTCACCACGGGTGCGCCTTGGTCGCTCTTGACGCTGGACGCGGCGCTGGCGCTGGCACTCGATCGCTTCGCTGGCGACAGCGTCGTCGACTTCAGAGACAAAGAGTTGGTGCTGCTGGTCATGCTCCTCTTCATTGCACTCGTGGCTTCCCCGGTGGCGGACACTGGTGTTTCCAACTGCAGGGCTGTGGCTGCATTTTGGTCAAGCTTGTTCAGAATATTCTCGGCCTTGTCCGCCAATCCTGTGATCCAGGATGACATTTTAAACGAAAAAAACACGTAAACAGTGCGTCTGACCAGAAATATACCAAAATATACTTAATTAATTTTAAAATATACTGTTCAAATAACATAGACTAACAAAGACTAAACACCGCTCCACTGTGGGACTTTAGAGCAGTGCAGATGAAAGATATTGCGCTGAGTTTTTTTTTGTAAGAAAGGAGGAAGATTGTATGCACAGGAAGTATTTACCAAGAAGAATACTACGCTGTTTAATTATTGGGGGCTTAAGAGGGTTAGTTCGTTCACTCATCACTCATTTATATACCATAAATGGTATATCACAGTATATTTCTGATGGTGGGGTAAGGTCTACTTCCCGGTGCAATTTTGCCAATTTTTGCGTTGAATTGTTTAAATATTGTTTGAATGGCGCTGCTGCGGAACATAACAAACAGCTTTTGCTGCAGCTTTCGGCGTTATGGGAGCAGCGGCTGCACCATATACAGCCTCAGCTCGGGCCACGTCAAGTGCGGCGTCTCCGTGATACGCGTCTCCGGTCCACAGACAAAGAGGGCGCTGCGCGCCATCGTCGGATGCAGCGACTACGAGCCCAAGGCGCGGCAGGCGTATCTAAAGTCATTTTTTCATCCCATAAGCAATGAAATGATTGACAGGGGACTGCTGCTGTGGTTTCCCGGGCCAGCCTCCTTCACTGGCGAGGATGCCTGCGAGTTTCAGGTGCACGGCTCCCTGGCAGTCATAGCGGCGATGCTGGACGCTCTCGGACGGCTCGATGGACTGCGACAAGCCGAACCGGGAGAGTTTACAAAGCGTGCGTTCTTTGGCGGCAAGCTGGATCTCACGGAGGTCGAGGGTTTGGCGGATCTGATACACGCCGAGACCGAGGCACAAAGGAAACAAGTGAGAGATGCCAAAAGGAAATCCAATTAATGGACAGGCACTAAGGATTCTTTTTCTCCCTTTCAGGCACTGCTGCAGAGCACGGGCGCCTTGGGCCGCCTGTACAACAAGTGGCGCAAGCGTCTCATCCGCTGTGCCGCCCACCTGGAGGCCTTCATAGACTTTGCCGAAGAGGAGCAAATCGAGGGCGGCGTCATCCTGCAGCTGACCAAGGAACTGAAGGCGGTGCGTGGCGAGATACGCGAGCACTTGAATGACCAGCGGCAGGGCGAACTGCTGCGCGAGGGCGTGCGCACGGTCATCGTTGGAGCGCCCAATGTGGGCAAGAGCAGTCTGCTGAATCTGCTCTGTCAGCGCTCCGTTTCGATTGTCACCGACCAGGCGGGCACAACGCGCGACATTATCGAGACGATGCACAATTTTGGCGGCTATCCGGTGATATTCTCGGACACTGCAGGCCTGCGCAGGCACACGGCGGACAGCATAGAACGGGAGGGCATGAAGAGAGCCAAGAAATGTGTGGAAGAATCGGACTTAATACTCCTCCTAACCGATGCCATCGCTGTGAGGGAACTGTCCAGCAACGAGATGGTTGCTGGCTATGTAGAGCGCTACCTAAAGGATTTGGACATACCCACGGAGCTGTGTAGCGGCAAGCGAGTGCAGCTGGTGGCCAATAAAACGGACACACTCTCCACAGAGGAGTGTCAGCGCTTGGAGCAGCTGAGCAACGTTTTATCCATCTCCTGCCATCAGCCTGCCAATATGCCCACATTTCTGGGCGCGCTCGAGCAGCAGCTGCAGCAGCTCTGCGGCACACCACGCGCCGAACATCCGCGCATCACGAACACACGCTACCGCCAGCAACTGGTGCGCTGCATTGAGAACATTGATATATTCCTAAGAGATTACAAGCCAGATGTTTTCCCCGACATGGCCATTGCCGCCGCAAAGCTGCGGAATGCCGTGCGCTGCATTGAACGCATCACGGGTCACGTCAGCTGCGAAGATATACTCGATGTGGTGTTCAAAGACTTTTGTATTGGTAAATGACTTGATATTATAGTAGATTAGATAGTTGATAGGCTACTAAGCGCAAAGTCTGTAATCATTTATAATGTATTTTGAATTTGAATTTGAATATCTGAGCTAACAGCAATGGGCAGCATTGTTAGGGCAGCTGTTAAGCGTAACAGAGTGCTGTAAGGCGCGTAAATTGCACAGTTTCTTGTGCTGTTAATGATAACAGCAACTACATGCTGTTAAGCGGATGTTAGAGCTGTCAAGACAAAAATGAAAATGTTGGCATTATTTGCACAAATAAAGTGCCCTTGTGTTAAGGATACAGGTAGAGAATATTGGAGCATCTATAGGCATCTATTTGGATATGCAAACGGCATTATTTTACGCTTACTTGGAGGTAACTTTTAGAGCTGACAGTGCGGCATAGATAACAGAGCTAAGCTGTTATTTTGGCTGTCTGCTGATCAACTGTTAACTTGGCGGCACATTTAAATTGAAAGCAGCTGTTGGTTTGGCATTATATCCCAAATATTGGTAAAGTTTTTATTTTATTTAAAGTAAATTTCGTTGCTTCTCCTGCCCCCTACCGTTTCCTTTCCGTTTCCTTCTCAATTTTCCTCAGCTTTTTGGATATTTTCGGGATGCGTTTCCCCACCTTCCGGGACGGCTTCGGAGTTATCTCGCGCTTCAACTCTCGCCAGTAGTCATAGTCCCTGGGACCCTTAATGGGAATATGCGGTATCTTGCGTGGTCCACGATTGCCCGATAGCTGCAGCAGCGATGGCGGCACAAAGCTGCGACGCACCAATCGACCCACAAAGGCAACGAGCGACATCTTGCTTGATTTTTGGCTATCAACTTTAGAGCTGTGCTTCGATTTTATTTGTTGTTCCTAAACTGTTGATTTTTGTGTTCTTTTTTTGTTGGTTTAATTTTAAGCACAAGCTTGCTTTGTTCACTGGAAGTTTTGGGCATACAAACGGGAAGTATTTCAAGCCCAAAATGTGAGAAATCGAACAATTATTACGCCTGCTCTACGTTGTCTTAAGAGTCCCAAAAGTGCTGTAGGAGCACCGCCCGTCCCGCATCTGGCTTCAATTAGCGCACTTTTGTCTGTCGTCTCTCCTCTGGCGTTTATTTTCTGTGACAGACTTAGAACTTTGGTCACAGATCAGTTGATTACTGCTTACGTTGCCATGAGGTGCGTTACCTTGCTGCTACTTTGGGGTACTTTCCGCATCGTTTGGGGTGAAAATCAAACCCAACTTTGCCAGCAAGCTGTGAACCCAAGGCATTCGCTGCTCTCGCGTCGTGTGCGGGGTTTGGTCTTTCCGGACAAGGCCTCGCTGCTGGTCACAGCTGCCCTGACCAAGATCATAGTGGGTGGACGGCCGAGTGGGCTGCAGTATAGTCTGGAATTTGATATGTACTTGCCGCTGCCGGATACGGTGGAGGGTTGGGAGCCAAAGATATCGAAGAATCCTAAACATAAACCCAAGACCAGGAGGCGATGGGATTGGGCTGGGAGTAACGCCCAAAGACCGATCAAATATGCGCCTTATTACAGGTAAAGAAAATGCATAAATAAATGAAAGAAAATGCTTACCAATAAATCTCTTACAGTCCCCAACTCACTGCGAATTCGTTCTATCAATCGCCCTGGCACTTGTCCACTCAAATCCAGCAGCAGCCGCAGGAGGAGACCTATGAGTCCTGGTCGCATGTGCCACAATGGAAGCTGCATCGCGGCTACAGAGAACGCAGAGACATCTACGATCAGTTTGAAGCCTTAGGGAGAGTGTAAGCTGGGGAAAGTAACTAAGCCCAAAAGAAGTTTAATCAATAATTTGCATCCAATCACAGCTTCCAATTGGACGTTCGCAGCTGCATAAAGCGCGCCATGTGTGAGCTAAGAACACGCCTCAAGGGCGGCTTTCTCATGGAGGATCTAATGCGGATTATACTCACGTAAGCTGGGGGGGATATTCAGAGTAAATTTGAGCTAAATGTTCGCCATTTAAGCGTGCCTGAAGAGCTAACCGCTGACAAGTACAAACATCCCAGTGACATCCAGGACTGTGTGCGCTTTTATGCCCTGAGCTGCCCCTACAATGTTTTGGATTTCCTGACACAAAATTACCCGACATCAGGCAGCAAGTAGGCTGTGTGTCGAAACTCTAGGGCATGCCAGAGTGCCATTTGCCTCAGTACAGCGTCCAGGCCGCTCCGAACAGCACACAAAATATTTTATACAAAATTTCAGGCCCAAATTTAAGTTCGCAAAAATCAAGTTCTTGTCATTAAAATTTAGAAACAACAAAAATGGTTGGCCTTTCGTTAGTGCGCGATTTGCTGCTGCCACAAAGGCTGCTGCGTGCCATGGGGCAGTGCATGCGTTTGTCATCCTCGTTTAAGGGCTGCCAGGAGGATCTGGATTCCAGATGCAAGAAGACGGGCACAAGGTCGCCCTGTGGCCAGCCGAAGCTGCAGCGCAAGAAGCCAAAGCCCAAGCCTAAACAGAAATTCAAGTCAATGTGGCTGAATCCCTTCTGTGATGCCCACGAGCCTCACTGTCCGTTCAATCCCCGCTTCGATGACATCTACTACGTGGAGTCGGACAAGGCGAAGCGTCGCTACTGGCAGACCTGGACCTCGTGTCCACCCATGAAGCTGAAGGAGAAGAAAATCTGTTGCTTTGAGCGTGCCAGGGGGCCGCCCATGAAGCGTCGCAAGCATCGCAAACCGAAAACCGCCTGCGAGCCGCCATCCTGCCCGGACCCGGACTCGCTGGACTGCCCCAAGTTCAAGCGTCGTTGCCACAAGAAGGGGCGCATACCGCCCTCATGCATAGTCTATCCCTCGCCCTCGGATTGCCGCAAACCTCTAACACCCTATCCCTCATTCTCCGAGTGTCGCAGACTCAAACCTGGCGCCCTGCCCCTAAGCGAGTGTGGCTGCTGCAAGACTCCAATGATGTGCGAGGCCTGGGCAGAGTTTCGACTGCGCGCACTCCGAAAAAAATAGAAAAAATTCACGGAGCAAGGTCTGGATCTGTGGGTTTTTACATGGAATAAATAGCGGAAATTTGCGAACTTAAGGAGCGATTTTTGTGTTTAGAAGGGACTTTATTTAGAAGGGATTCTTGGCCATGTTCGTGACGAGTGTCCAGAGTAACGGACTGCACTCGTTGTAGGTTCTGCGGCAATCCGCACCAGCGAGACCCGCATCCCGGGCATGCAGATATTTGTCCGAGACATTGTCCAGCGTGGGCCTGCAGAATGGAGTTCTGGGTTTATGCTTTCTTGGTAGCTATACTTGGTAGTAAATACTTACACCAACACCGCATTGAGTATCTCGCTGAAAATGTTGCTGTTCTGAAAGGGTCGCTGGGAGATCTCACAGATGCTGCGCAGCAGGCAAGCGCCTCCATGTTCGGCATCCAATCTGTAAGCAGCAAAAGTTGGATAGTTCCCGGTGGCAGCTGCTGTCGCTGTACTCACTGCTCCATGCCCGTTTCTATGGCATCGTACACCCAAGAGCGTGCCTCATCGTGCTGCAGCTTCGTTTGCATATCCTTGCGCCACTCACGCGCCGTGGACACAAAGGCTGTGGTGTTCCAGAAGCTCCACCAATAGATTGGGATTGTTGTGGGTACCCATTGGCACTGGAAGTTGAAGAACCACCAGAAGGATTGCTGCTTATCCACTTGCTTGATGGGATAAGCCAAGCTGGGCACGAACTTGACTACTCCTTGACCATTGAATATGGCCACACGCTTGGGGCGACTCAGCGTGTTATGACTGTGACTGTAGCTGCTGTTCCAGCTGCTGACATTTGTTTCGTCCAAGGTCTTGGTGTGGCACGCTACCAAAGAGAGACTGCACATCGCGGTGAGGCAGAGACACAGCCAGGTCTGAGCACTGTGCCACATCTTGTTTGCATTGAGTCGAATTTCAAACTAAACTCATAGCTTGGTGGATTTAGCTTTGGATTGATCTAGAGTTAATCTTTGATCGCATTTGTTTGCCCAAGAAATTGACAGCTCCGGCGATGGAGCACAAATCGGATTTGTTTCTGCCGTTAATTGGGGAATTTTCAAAGCTTAGGATGGAGTTTTGAGACCCAAAGCTACGCTGAAGATAAAAACAATTACAGTATACAGAATTGTCAGAGCAGCAAAGGCAAAAGCCTGTTGGAAAAACTTAACCCTCAAGCTAGTGCCAGGTATAAAGATAAAGATTTCTGGTACAAAAGACGACGCATGATAGCTGCTCATTCGATTTGATTACCTCGATCACGCTTTATTGTGGAACCACATCTGGAGCAGCATCTTTTGGGAGCAGCAAGCGCTCCAGTTTCGTGAAGCATTCTAATTGCTGCTCACGCATGGCCGCTGGTCAATGGTCTCTGGTAAGTTTGTCTAATTAAAGATCCAAATAGACAAAGACAAGGCAGAATTCCGGCTGACACCGTTCAGTGACTGTCCAAGTGGCACACAACGTCGCCATGCGTCGCACAAGGCAGCACAACGTCAGACTGTACGCGGCTCTAATATGGTTTGGCCTGATCTTGGGCCTAAATCCGCTGCGATCCGCACACGGCCTGCTGTTGTTTCCTGCCAGCACGGTGATACAAATAACCTCCTCGATATCGATACCGCTGGATCTGCCCACGCGCACCAAAGTCTTCATGGACATGGGCTTTCAGATGAACTACAACTTGCCCTATCAGCTGTCGTCCTTCTACAACTCGGCCATTTGGGCGGATGAGCTGGCGCGACGCCAGAAGCGTCAGTTGGGTAACCAAACAGAGCTGCAGAGTGGATTCCATCCGAGTGACTTCACGGCAGGACAGCTGTACGCGGGCTTGGAGCACATGCTGCAGAGCTATGGCTACCACAGGTCCTGTCTGCTGCGCAGTGTCTGCGAGCTGTCGCTGCATCCCTTTGCCGAGGATCACAGCTACGGGCTGGTCACTCAAGTCATAACCTTTCTGCTCACGTAAGTTCAAGTGCTGCTCCATCTGCTCTGTGGGACTTTATTTGGTTATTCTCCATTCCAGACCCTCGCAGCACGAAGGCTTTGCGGCTGGCGAGCAGCTCTATCGCGAGAGCTATGAGCGTGCGGAGCAGCTGGGCTTCCTGGGCGGCGACTGTCAGCGTGAATATTCCGATTGTGCGATAGATATCGTAAATCTAATCACGCGCATAGTCAGATGAAATAAACTTTGGTTTTAGTTTAATTTTTACGTGTGTGTTTGGCTTTTATTTAACAGCAAAATAGTCGCTGATTCCTCTCACTGACTCGCTCCAGTCACTCGCTAGTTAATCTAGTTACTTGCTAGTAATACCAAGGGTTAGCGCTGTGTTAGCTTAGTAGACTGCTTATAGCAGAGAGAAAATCCACCTTGCAATTGGCATACAGTTCGGCACAATTTTGACCCAGAAATCCCTGCTGCTCCGCCTGCTCGTAGACCTCTCGATAGAGCGTCTCGCTGGGCGCAAAAGCCTCGTGCAGCGATGGCCTGGGGGAAAGAAATTAATGTGAGTCCCCACTGCTACTACCAAAAGTTACTCACGTCAGTGTAAAGGTCAGCAGACCCGTCAGCATATTCTGCAGCGAGTCGTCAAAGGGATGCCGCGCCAGCTCGCACACGCTGCGCAGCAGGCAGGACTCGTCGAAACCATAGCGAGTGAGCATGCTCTCCAGGCTCTCGTAGAGTTCGCCCGCTGTGAAATCGCTGGGATGCATGTCTGTCCCCTGTGGCACGTACTTGCTCGTCTCGTTGCGCAGCTGCCGCTTGCCACGCCGCGAGAACTCATCTGGCCAAATCGTGGCTGCATAGAAGGATGCCGGCTTATTGGGCAGCGCATAGTTCATTTGTAGACCCCAATCCCAGAACAACTTGAGATCGGGTATAACCACGGGCACGGACAGCGAGGAGGTGATCTGGTACACGGATGAGGCAGGAAAGAGTAGTGGAAACTCCGCGTAGGCCACTGAAAGCAGCGCACAAATGGACAAGTGGACGCGCTTGAGATACATTTTGTTGTGACTTCCATTGGGCCTTCACACGTGGAGCTTACGACAATCTGTGACGAACGCACTGCGTTAATTAGTGCCACCCAAAAACAGTAGTTGCTAATGAAACGCGCAGCAACCACAGACGCTGCAATTTACATGTGTAAGGCCTAGGCTTACGTCAAAGTAAAGTAAATATGCAAAACCAACATTCCCATGCAGAAACTACCATCAAGCTTTTCTATGGCGGGGTGCTTCGATTCGCACCGTAGACAGAGGGAGCGCGCGCGATGTTACAGTTATCTTTTCGCCCATGCTTTGCCTCTGACCGGAGACCCTGCACGTCAATTCCTGCACCCACCCCAGCGACAGACACAGGTAGAAGTCTCGACACTCGAGCCACAGTGGAGCATTTTAGCTTGCCAATTATTTTGTTCCCACTTAAACTATTTTCAACTTTAAGTGTTATTGAGTAAAATTTTGTGACATTTTCTTAAGTTCTAGAAAATTATCTCTATCTTTCCATACATCTCCACAACGCCCAAAAAATTGTTTGACTGCTGCCACTTATTTTTGGCAGAGCAGCCACTGTGCCGCGCCAAGGCGAAGGTTAGCATAAAAGGGAAGTGACGATCAGCAATTCGCGCAATGCATTGGCGAAGCTGAGTAGCATTTCACATGCAAAGATTAGCATAAAAGAGAAACTAAGAACCAACAATACGCGCGCGTACCTGCAAGCGTCAAACGGGGCTTTTGCTCCTCATGCACTTTCTCAGTGTTGCATTGTCTTTTATTCGTTTTAGTGAAAAATCACCTGGCTGAAGTGCTTTAAGATGTCTTGCTTGCACAGGGAGTACAACTGCCGACAGTCCCTGCCCAGAAAGCCATCCTGCTCGGCCTGCTCGTAGGCTTGCCTGTAGATCGTCTCATCCTCGCGGAAGCCCTCATGCTGCGAGGGACTCAGCACAAATGTCACAAGATCCATCAACATGTGCTGATGATTGTCATCGAAGGGATGTTGAGCCAGTTCGCAGACACTACGCAGGAGACATGTCTCATGGTAGCCATAGCCCGCCAGCGTGTTCTCCAGGAAGGCATAAAGCTCCGCAGCCGAGAAATCCTTCGGATGTATGCCCGAGCTCACATCGTGTCCGTATTTGGTATAGAAATTTGCGTCCGTTTGCTGCAATTGTGGGACTTCACGCTTCCTGTTGTTATTGGCAAAGCCCGGCCAGATGGGTATGCTGTAGAATTGGCTCAAATTATACGGATAACTATAGGAGATGGCAAAGCACCAATCGATCAGGACACGCCGCTCTGGGTACAGTTCAGCAACGGGCGTGGAGACTGAAAGTGTGAGCTGAGAAATATATTTATAATTTTAGCTGGAACTTTTAGATTTTTCTGGCTCTTACTTACACCCAAATCGGATGAGGAAGGCCAGAGCAACGACTTCGAGTGCTGCACAAGTGAAATACAAATACAAAGAAATGTTGTGATCCGCAGGTATTTCATTTTGAGAACTGTTCGGCTTGCGTCGGACTCGAAAACTGGCCAAGTACCAAGCACACAAAGTCCAACAATTGCTGCAGGAATTGGGTCAGTAAAACGAAATGGAATCAAGACATCAATCAGTTGTGGGTAAATATTTGTGCTATCTCTTTGCAGCTACAGAATCACCAGGCAATACAGAACTCATGCCACATATTATTACTATTATTTTCAGTTCAACTCCCCAGGCGCGTGGTGTACCCTCAAGGTGCCCAAGCCCAAGCGGCGGCAGCCACCGTCTAAAACGCATCGCATTGATGATGGAAGCTTTGCGCATCCAGCCAAGTGGCATCAATGGAGCGAATATGCCACGCAGCAGGAACAGAAGTGGCAAAAACCGTAAGGCTCGGGAAGAGTAAGGGAAAAGAATCCATGGATCCAAGGCACAGCAGCAACCAAGTGGAAAGCCACTCCCTCTAGGGCTTGGCAGTTCCATCATTATCATGGTCACAGGGATCGCAGAGATCTGTTTGATCGTTCGCTGTGGGTACACCATAGAGCTTTAATGTCCACACATTTTATTCACTTATATTTCCCCTCTTGAAGGTTTAAAATGGATCTCAAGTCCTGCATCCTGCGCACCATCTGTGGCAGCAAACGTCTGCTGCTGCCGCCTGGATATTCCATGTTGCTGGATATGCTGAGAGTGGTTTTCATGTAAAAAGTTCCAAGTAGCTCTTAACAGCGGCATTCTCATTATTATGCACCCAATTTTTGTTTGCTTTTCTGGCACATTCTTCGCTTGAACTCAAAGCCGCAAAGAGAGATTTCTTCTTCAAGTATTTACCAAACAATTCACACAATTCACAATCAGATCAATTTCCATTTGCCAGCAAACAAATCAATTGAAATCCAATCACCAAAAGCTATCTCCCAACTGGATGTCTCAATCAGTGATCTTCTGCCATGCGCTGTGTTCTGGTGTTAATCTTAGCTCTTCTATCACTACTCTTGGCCCTGGTCCAAGCTGAGCAAAACCAAACCACGCTCACTCATGTTGTGGAACGCTTCTTTTCACGTCGCAAGCGTTTTGTGCTCTTTCCCCCTGGCTCCAATTTGAAATTTACCGGCCAACTAAGCAAAGGTTTGATCTCAGCGTTTCCCAAAGGTGTGTCCATGAGCATACAGCAGGCCTGCTATTATCCTGTGCCTTCAAAACGTGAGGATGTCTACCCAAAGCGCTATCGTGCGAGAACTACAACCACACAGAAGCCAAAGACCACGGCAGAGCCCACGTATGTGTGGATACCGGGCACAAATTGGAGATTTAAGGCCACTCCAGTGAAGAAACCCACGCCCATAAGGCTGCACTCGCGCATCGATGTGAGACCAACAAAGAAATCCTATGCCGATCCTGGCCAGTGGGCACATTGGTCAAAGTATGGACAAAGCTATGAGAACTGGTCGCCAGCTGTGGGACAAAAGTATGAGAAGTACAATCAGCCACAGTCCTGGAGCAAGTACAGTCAGCCACAGCCAGAATCCTGGAGCAAGTACAAACAGCCACAGCCGCAGTCCTGGAGCAAGTACAGTCAGCCGCAGCGTTGGAACAAATGGACAACGGCGTCCCCTCAGTGGTCAAAACGATGGCACAGATCGGCTGAGAACGAATATTACGATCCCGAGGTGACACCCTATGAAGATGTTAGATCCGAGCAGTCCGATCATTGGGTAGATCCCTACGATCCAGACATGGCACCGCACAAGCCACCGCACTATCAGGAACTGGCACACGTGGAGGACATTCGGCACTACAATGGACACCGCGATCGTCGGCAATTGTTCGAGCATTTCGATGGGTTCCAGAAGCTGTAAGTTAACATCTGCAAACATGGTTCCCTGAATCCTTCAACCGTGTTCAACCCCACAGTTTAGGAATCGACACCAAGGCCTGTGTGCTGCGTGCCATTTGTGACAGCAAGAGATTGCTTTTGCCGCCAGGATATTCCATGATCCAAGACATTGTGCGACTGATCTTTACGTAAGTAGTTAAAGCTCCTCTTTTTTCCTCATCTGACACATACCTTCCCTTAGCCTACCCACCATTTCTGGCGTGGAGGATGACTACAGTCGCACCATGCGCCTGCAGCCGGACGACTGTGATCGACGGTTCCGTGACTCCTGCAAGTTCAATATTCTGGGCTGGCTGCTGGGCGCCAAATGGCATTGAATAAACACACATTTTGGGCACCTGAAAACAATTGTCGGGCATGCAGTTTTATTGTATAAATTGTGCCTGCCACATGGACTGCTTGCACTCGGGATAGAGTGCCGCACAGTCACCGCTGGAGGCATGCGCTTTGTCATAGTGGCTGTCCCGATAGGCCACAGGCTCGTGGTCCAGTGCCTCGGGTATGGTGAAGACCGCACGCATCAGCTCACCCACAAAGGTGCCGGGCTCTTGCTCCTGCTTCGATTTCTGGCCAGTTTCGCAGAGGGTGCGCAGGACACATTGATAGCCAGGATGGCCGCGTCTGAGGGAGGCAAATACAAGAGCAGAATGGGAGTTAGTTGGAGCAACTTTTGGTGTCCTGCTACTCACTTATCCAAATACTTTTCAATGCGCTCATACAGCGCCTGTCGACTGCTGCGATGATGCTTGATCTGCAGCTGCTCCAGGCGGCTGATGCCAGCATCCTCATGGTGGCTGGCCACTCCGCTGCGTCGCTGACGTTGATGCGGATTGGCTGCATCCGGCAGGCTGCGTTTGCCAAACACCGGATATATGCGATGATGACGTGGCGCCGGTTTACGTGTGGGTCGACTGGTAGTAGTCGTAGTTGTTGGTGGGTCCTGGCGACGCTGGGCCTGCGGTGGTGCCGTCTGCTGCCCATAATAGCGATCTTTGAGGCTGTCAGGAGTAAAGGAGAAGCTGCAGTTGTGTGTGTGTGTGTGTGTGCAGAGAGACTCCTACTTACCGCGAATTCAGCGCCCAGTAGGGATAACGTGAGTTCTGTGCTGTGGTGTAGGGTCTTGGTCTTGGTCTTGACCACTTGGCGAATGGATTGCTGGCACTGGCCCCCGGGCGACTGTAATAGTAATGATTGTCCTTGCGCCTGCCACCCTTGGTCCGGCTGTAATAACTGTCTGCATATTGATGCGATGGATGCATGGGCGTACGGAACACAGGGGATGAGCTGTAGTAGGAATCGCTGCCAGCACCCGACACAGAGCTGCTGCTCAAGTTGATGTAATTCGGTTTGTAGTAGGTCGCCTTGGTGGTTGTTTCCGTGGCATCTTCCACGTAGGTAATGTTGGACACGGTATCATTGCGACTAATGTCCAGTGTGCCGTCTTCCAGTTTGGTCAGCAGATCGTCCAGCTCCTCGCTGGGCGGCTTGCTCGGCAGCTCCCAAGCCAGAGCCACCGTTATGCCGAGAATCAAATAGTTCGTGTGGTCCACAACGCCCACAATCTCATCGTAGACTTAAGAGGAAACAGAGAACATGGAACACGAAAAAGAGAACATGGAACGGAGCACACAGAGCGAAGAGAACGAAACGGAGTACGCAGAGCGGAGAACACAGAACGGCGAACACAAAACGAAGAACGGAACGGCGGAAGAGACAAGAGAGTGAGCAGGAGTGGGGGTCAGTGAGTCGCGTAATTTGCATTCACTTATGACTGCCCATAGGCTGGGACTGAGAGCGACTTACCAATCTGAAATGAGCTGCCCTCCGGAAATACCAAATAGCGCCGTTTCCTAGACAACAGCTCAGAGGATTGCGTCGCTCTGCTGCTCGTTTCGTTCAACTTTTGCTCGATGAGCTGCTCCAGGCTGCTGTCGGCATTGTCTATGCCGGTGAGTGTTGCGCCAACGACTGCTGGTGCGTGCTCGAAGGCTGAAGAGACTTTCAATGCATCTACGGCATGTCCGGCAAGGAGACAGGCCAGAAACAGCACCAAAGCAGGCAGTAAACTGGCGCTGCATGTCGGTATACAGCTACAGCTACTCGTGGGTTTGCCACTGCAGCTTCTACTGGTTCTGCCACTGTTGTTGCACATCTCCTTCACGCGTTGTCTATGCGCCAACTGTCGGGCAAAGTCTCACGACACGGCACTGACCATTGTCAGACACTGTTTTGTGGCTGTTGTGGCTGTTGTTAATTGTAAGACCACTCTGCCGCCATCTCCTCTCCATTGGCCGCTTCCTCTCTTCACTACCCTCCGCCAGAAACTTTCATGTTTGAGCTTCTTCTCCGTTCGTTAAAGTTCTTTCCCTCTCTCTCTCTCTTTTGTTTCTTTCATTAGTTTTCACACTTCTCGTCTGCTCTCGTCTTCTTTGCTCGTCTTCTCTGGTGTTTTGGCAAGTAGTTTGTCTTGCGTCTGCTTTGCTCTGCTCATTGGACTATTTAAAGGTTCAAATTACTTTTTCACGCTCCCAACTTTGGCATCTTCAACTTTATTCTTTCTATCTCAGAAGTAGCACACTTTTGTCTTGCTCTTTAGCACACAGAAGATGGAAGCAGAAAAGCTGAAGGTGAAGCTGAGATGCTGCAGCTCTGAGTTGCTGCTGCTGCTGATTCCTCAGCTGAAGGAATTCAAGTTGAAGTAATGCGATCACTAGTCGCAGTTCTTCCACCTTCCACTTATCCACTCCTTCCCCAATAGCGGGCAAACTTGGACTTGGAAGGTCGTGTTGACTCGTGGAATGCTTTCAGCTGCGCACAAACTTCCAAATGACTTTTGTGTATAATCGAGCTTATTTCCTCTTGCTCTAAAATATTCGAGTAGCTCCGCTGCCAAAAGGAATGACAACAAGTTGGTAGAGGAAAATGAAGTAATGCGTTGTATATTGGCTTTAATATAATCATGAAAAATATGATAAAGATACCAAGCTATAAACCTAATGGTAGATTTGAATATCTTTCATCATTCTCGCTGAATTTTATCTCGCTTTCCTTATCCTTTTCACCATTTAAAATGAATAAAAAACCTCAACTAATAATTTTCCATAATTTTCCATAGCCACTTTTATTATCATTTTTAGCACCTTAAGCCATCCAAAATGCGTGCTGGCAATCGCTATACAGCTCCAAACAGTTGCCCTGCTGGCGATGTGCCTCCAGGTAATGTGGCGAAATGTGCTCCAGTGCCAATGAGTCGACCTCCTGCCCATCATCGCTGGCAGGCAGCTGAAAGATGGCCGACAGCAGTTCCATGATAAAGCTCTGCGGTTGAGCGGCCCTCCTGCCATTGCCACCGCCTGATTGCTGCTGCCGCTGGGCAGACTCACAAAGAGCTCGAAGCACACAGGCCGTGCCATTGAGTTGCCGACTGTGTGGGAGGGAGGAGCAATACGGATTGAGTAGATCAAAGTTTGCCAAAAGTTTCGTGCTGATAAGATTTCACTTACGCCCTGTATAGCCGTTCGATTTTGCCAAAGAGCAGCTGCCGAGAGCTGAGATGCTGCTGCAAATGGAGGCGCTCAAAGTGGGGATCCAGCTCCAGGCTCTCGCTCTCCCCACGTCGTCGTCGTCGACGCCGTCGCTTGCCGAAAACAGGATAAATGTGGTGCTGGGGAGGAGACTTAAGCAAACGTCGTGGACGTTGACTGTAGTCGATGCTGTGGAGGGAATGAATATAGTAAAAATATGAGGAGTATATTTCAGCATTTACTCTTTACTCACTCCCACTTTGGCTGGTCCGTCCATATGCGTTGCTTTTCACGCCAATTCTGCTGCAGCCGGTCCTTGTTGCGCCGCCACCAATTGTCCGGTGGTGTTGGGTCTGCTGCTCCGTCTCCTGTTCGCGGTTGCTGCCACTTTCGGACCGACTGTCGCGCATGCCAATTAGCCGGACCCGGCCACGTCGCCTGCTGTCCATTTGCATTTGCATTCCCATTAACATTTGCATATGCAGAAGTGGCTGCTGCCGTCGCCGCTGCTGCCGTCGAGCCGGAGCGCAGGATGTTCGTGTAGTAGGAGCCGTGGCTATTGGCTGTATATGCTGGACGATCTGGTGGCCGCGGCACTGCCGTTGGTGCGTGCACTGGCTGCCAATTAGCAGGGCTTCGATTGGGATACGGAATGGGGTCTGGGTCGGGGGCACTGCCATTGCGACGGACAGTTCCGATGGTGCCGTCATTGATGCGAGTGAGCACGTTTTCAATCAGCTCGCTGGGCGCCTTGCTGGGCAGCTCCCAGGCCACGGCACATGTGATGCCCAGGATGGCGTAGTTCGTGTACCCCACAATGGGTATGATTATGTCGAACACAAGCTGGAACGAGCTGCCCTCCGGGAAGAGCAGATAGCGTTTCTGTCGATGCAGTCGCAGCATCTGCTGGCGCCACGAATCGTTCGCCGGCGCACCCAATAAAGAAGTGCGAGTGGGAGGAGGAGGAGGAGGAGGAACAGCACTGACCACCACCTGATGTGATCTATTCGAGTTGTGACCCTCAGTGTCCGCTGGCCTGTCATTGCGGAGCAGGCAAAGTCGCAGCAGCAAAATTAGCATCGCTGTGACTCCAGCACATCCAATTACTCTGATTGTTTTTGCCATTTTCTGAAATGAAAGCGGGTAAAGTTACTAAAGTAAAACACTAGACAACAAGGTTGTGGGTCCATTTATATTTACTGGATGTTTAGGTTAAATTCTTAAGCAACAATTACACAGGAGCTTGTACGTGTACGTGTGTCGCTTGCAATCTCTTTTCCCACATACATTCATACATTTGCTTTGAGCTTCTCAGCTATGGCTCTCCCTTTCTGCCCTCTCTGCCCGTATGTACATACATATGTACATGTATTTGAAGATCAGCGTAAAACTACCTGCTTGCCGACGCCGACGTCACATTACACGCGCCCTACGCATAACTTAGAAGAGAGCAAGAGAAAGCCATAGTAAGAGAGCGCTGCTAAGCTTAGCACGAACGTCAGCCAGAGAGCGAGAAAAGTGCAGCTACGAAGAAGGCGGGACAAGTAGACGAAAGAACGGCCGCGCCGCGCATGTAGCTTGTGTTTTAAGTACAGTTGTTGGGGAATCAATAATAACGACAATAATAACGAAGGAAGGTAGGAAAATAATTACAGCAAATGGACGTTCAAAGTTCTAGCACTCCACTCCTTTCAGCTCCACTCTTTTGTGTGCCAGTGTAATTGAACAGTCAATACTTTGGCCTCTCTCTCTGGCTACCCGAGCACTCACATTCAAAAAAGGAGAAGCAAAAAAAAAAAAACGCAAACGCAAATGCGAAATTTGCATAATTTCACTCTATCTGCGACGGCAGCTACTTCCATTTGCTGGCTCTGCCAATCATGCGTTAAATTAATGCAATTTTCAACAACATTCGATGCGAGCGAAATGGTGAAACGTAGCGACCCCGGACCGGGACACCGAACCAGCGCTGCCACAATTAAAACACTTCCATGCCGGAATGCCGCCGCACTGAGCGCAATTGAACGAGAATTTATGAAGCAGATAATTACCATTAGAGGCAGCGACGAGTGTCCGGCAAATGGGTCTCTCGATTTGGTCCTTAGGTTCCTTTATTTTTTTTTGAATTTTTGTTGTATTTTTACGATATGTTGATGCCATTAGCTGTCCGAGTCATACTGATGATGGTGCCATCGACGCAGCACAATCCCTGCTCTGATGCCCAGCGGCGCTTCGATCTCGTGTACAGTTTGGGTCCGGCAAAGTTTAATTGTACAATTAGCACCCAATTGAGTGTCGTTAACTCGTTTTTGTGTCACTTAAAGTGCTCTTTAACAGGTGCTAAGTAGTTGGCCGCTCAGAATCGAACCATTTGTAACCCAGAGCAGCAAATATAGAACGAACCATTTCCGTTTATCCATAAAACGTTGAATAATTGTGTAACGTGAAAACAAGACGCCGATTCGTGTTGACTTTTGATGACAGCCTGCCTGTTGGCAACTATAAACTTGATTTAGTGCTAACTCTATAAAGATTATATGTGCACAATGCTGGAAAATATTATAAAAATAGATAAACACACATGTTGCTCTTTATTATTCACAAAATGATCCATCCAAAGTCTAACTAAATATTCCTTTTCCCATTGCACTTGCAGCCCCAACACGTACACCGTTTCACACTTACTCGCTGGCTGTCAAAGTTTTGACTTTTCTACCTCTTTGTGTGGACAATTGAGGTGACAACCAATCAATTTACTGTTGCAAGCCAGCACAAAAGGACCGCCAGCATCAACGCTGCCGGCACAGATCTTGTTGTGGGCAACCCAACACACACACACACACACACACACACAGAGAGCCGCAGGTGCTTGCAGCAGAGTGGCACAAGTGTCGCGTTCACTGCAGCGCCACAGAGCTACAGAGATAGCGACTGAAGCGGCGGATAAGTCCCCGGCCTAGAGGCGATTGCTTTTCTGGCCTATGCTGGAATTCAGGGCAGTCGTTGGGTTGTAACGGGAGAGAGAGATGCGGAGAGAGCTTTCGCGAGCTTTAGCTGCAGCGTGCAAATGTGCTCGTATTTTGATGCTGATTGAATGGCACAGGTAAGTGCTCATGCATGCATTCATTATTACATTTTAATTGTTAATTTTTACAATTCTTTTGTAGCTCAAATCCAGGAAATGTCATGACATGCTAGTTGGAGTTGAAAGAGCCACAGCATACGTTCCACAAATATGTGGCAAATAGCCAGAAGCTGCACTTCAACACACTTTGCCAGGAGCTGCTATTAGCCTTTTCAATTCGTTTGCCGTGAACTCCTTAAGCAAACTCAAGAATGCACGTACTTTGCCATTGCTGCCACAAGTTGCAGGAGCTGCAATTAGTCGACCATGCACGCTGGCAGCAAGAAGTTGGTAACCTTCCGGTTTCGCCGCGCACAGCTGCTGCCACTGCTGCTGCTGCTGCTGCTGCTCCTGTCTGTGGCTGGTTGCAGTCTCTTCACACCAGCTGGCAATGCCACATGCAACCATAGGCTGAGTCGCTCGCGGCGAGTGGCCATCTTCAATGGTCAAGGCGTGCTCAAGGTGGGCCATTAATCAAACATGTGGCAAATCGATCGATCCATCTCCATCTCCCACAGTTTGTCTGCGGCCTGGCCTTTCCCATACCGCAGGAGGACACTGTGCTTTCCGTTTGGGGCTTCATCAACTATCAAAATCAGTTCACGCCTCCACCCGTGCCAGTTTATTGGTGGAGTTCTTGGAACACTTCCAGCTTCGAGTCGGTGGCCAGGGATATCCACACGCAACTCGAGCACGATGAGACGCGCACTTGGCTGTACGATGTCATTGAAACGGGTCTGGAACAGTGAGTAGCTAATGCGGAATTAGTGTTTACAGTGGATCTCCAGCCCATGTTCCCTCAGATTGGATGCCGAAAGTGGAGCTGTGTGCCTGCTGCGCAGCATCTGCGAGATCTCACAGCGACCCTTCCAGCCCAGCAACCTCTTCGGCGAGCTACTAAATGCAGTCTTGGTGTAAGTGCTTATTGAAAGGTGTTTCCACTTTTGATCCACTGCACTATTCTGCTTAGACCTCCTCTGGACAATGTGGCGGGCAAGTATCTGCATGCCCGGGATGGGGGACGTGCGGGCGCTGATTGTCGCAGAACCTACAGCGATTGCAGCCATCAACTTTGGCGACATCTCAGGCATGCAGCAAGGATAACGCTTTGAGAGCAGAAGTGTGTGAAACAGGGAATCGAAAGAATGCCCAATTAATTCAGCAAGTTAAACTCCTTTGAGCTATATTTATTGGTAGCCTGAAACTCGGATCAAAAAGTTAATGTCCGTACAGTTATCATTTTCTTCTGCAAATTCTGCTCTCTGCTTTTTAGCTCCCTTTGCTACTATAAATTTCTTTCGCTCAGTGTACCTACACCTTTGTTTTACATCAATTTGAATTTGTGTGCTTGGAGCATTCCTGCAGCTGCTACGTACTCGTGGCCATACTCGAGCCGTACCCCTTCTTGTGTGTATCTTTGTTTCCGATTGTATTTTTCGATTCGCTTTATTTGTGCAGTTTTATTGTTTCCCTGCTCGTGTGAGATTTTTACTAATTTCCAGAGCCAAGTTGAACTGTAAACAATGTCAGCAGAGAAACCAAATGAAAACGAATGCAGCTAACAAAAACACCCACGGGCACGGGCACGGGCCGGAGTCGGAGGCTAACGAACAGCAGTCCTCGTCGGAGTCGTCGTCGTCGTCGTCGTTGCAGCAGTGGCAAACATTTTGTAGCATGCAAAACATTTGTCAAATGTAAATTAGCAAAGAACTGTGGCAGAGAGCGGAGGCTATGCAAGGCAGGGGTTTGGCTGCTGCTGCTGTGGTTTTTCCCTCTTAGCCATGGCCCCGCTGTGGGAGGTGTGACGGTGGGGGGGGGTTGGTGCTGGTGTTTGCCTGGTACAAATCGCATAAAATCACACTTAATGCCCGCAGGCAACATGCAGCATGTAAAAAGTGCAGCGAGGCGTGAATGTCGCTGGCACACACACACACACACACAAACTTCTGCATGTATACAGGACACAGGCCACAGGACATAGGACATAGGACCCAAAGACACAACCACACACACATGGCCCGGCATTGGTTCAATGTTGCAGCTGAACGCAAATGCGGAAGCATTAACATGGCTTGTGCCCCACACCAGCCTCCCATCCATCCTTTTTGCCTGCCTCTATTGTTCGCAATTATCATGGAACGCAAACGACAAATGCTTAATTTTTGTTATCCAAAAGTTGAACTTTTGCCTCACTGCACCTCCGCACCTGCCGCACCCCTCCCGCTCCCGCTCCCCCTCCGCCCACACAAACAAAAGCATAAAATTAAAAAAATAAACTAAAATCCAACCGAAAAGTACAAGTCAAACTTTAATAAGCGCCATTTCTGCTGCTCGTGTACGGGTCGGTCCACATGGCGTATGCGCAATTTGCATTCGCCAACAAACAAAAGTTCGGGGCGTAGCTCTCAAGTGAATTTTATCGCAGCCAGATATTCAACAAAAGAAGTTGCGTTGCATCTCGAATGCTACACTGAGAGCAAGAGAAGGCTTCTAAAATTAAGAATTTAAAATGATTTTTTTAGTAGTTTATTTTAATATAATTTATGAGGGAAAGGGCAAAAATATAAATGAACAATTGGAAGGGAAAAATATAGTGTATTTTTTCTATTATCAAAATTATATTTAATTTTTAATTATTTTATTTCCCATGCATTTAGCTTGATGAACAATTTTTTTAGCTGATAAAAATCGAAGAACCTTAGAATTAGTTTTGGTATTTATTTTAGCACATAGAAGAGTAGGAGATTATTATTATGTGTTGGCTTTTGTTAATGCTTTGATATACTTAATTAAATATTTTGTTTCAATTATTCAACTTCAATCACCCAAAGTCATGATCTTGCATTTAGCAGCTCTCGTTTCAAGTCACTGACTCCACGTCAGTGCCAGTTCACACTTTGGTGTGAGGTTCAATGAACGGCATTTCATCACGAGAGACTGCTCCAATTTGAATACAACTCGAAATATGGGTTAGTTGATGCAAGTGATTAGCGCGCTGCTCTAATAAGTCAAAGAAATTAGCAAAATGTTTTTCACTGCTGCTGCTGCTGCTGCTGCTGCTGCTGCCTCGACCTGTCGCTCATTTCATATCCAAAAATGTTGTTGCCTGTATTTTAATTATGTCAAAATGTTGCCGTTGCTCCGCTTGTTGTTATTGTTCAAATGTCAGCAGCCAATTAGAGAGGGTGCGACAGAGAGAGAGAGAGAGAGAGAGAGAGAGAGAGAGTGACAGAGTCAAAGGCTGCTGTTCATCTTCTCCAGGCCTTAACGGCGTCATCGCGAGTCACTCAATGTCACTCTGCCGCTGTCCGTCGCTGTCGCTGCTTTAGTTGTTCTTCCTGGCAGTGGTTGTCAGGGCGTTGCTGGGGATTCGGTTTGGTTCCGTTCTGCTCAGGTCGTGTCCCAAACTCCCCGACCAGCATGGGGATGTACGAGTATTTGGATGCCAATGCCACTTCAGCGCCTGTCACGGCATCCTGCCCCAGCTCTGGCTTCCCCTCAAATGCCTTACTTGGCCTTGTCATCATTTGCATAAGAAATTTATCTCAATGAGTGGCTAATTGGGAAATTGTGACATGCCTTCCTCGCAGGCCCCTTTCGCTAAGCCAACAAAAGGGCTGCGCAAATCCGTGGCCCGTTAGTTTTATTGCACTAATCCTTGAACTAATTTAGAGCCAAACTGAAAAAGAGGAAGACGAAGAACAACGTCTTGGCATTTTAAAATTAAGTCTAGGCATATTGGTAGCACATAATGCTGGCCATGAGACTAGAGCTGGTTACCAGAAGAGACTGTGGAAATATTTCAATTAAATAAATGAAATAAAATTAAAACTGGGCGCTGTCCCGAGTTATTATGTAAATATTTGTGTCATTTGGTTGACTAAAAATTAAAAATTAAAGTTACAAAATTAAAAAAAAAAAATCAATGCATGAATTTCCGTGTATTTTTATGTAAAGCTTATTAAATATTAATAAATAAATATTGTTAAAAAGTTTAAAAAATGTAAAGAAATGAAAATGTTTGAGTGAACATTAAGAAATTGTAGTTAAAAAATCAAAATTAAAGTTACAAAATTAAAAAAAAAATTCAATGTTTTGAATGCATGAATTTCCATGCATTTTTATGTAAAACTAATTAAATATTAAGCAATAACAATTTTTAAAAATTAAAAAATGTTAAAAGAATAATTATGTTATGGTAAAACTTAAAAAATTAGAGTTAAAAAATATAAAAAGCCTTCAAAAGTTCTTCTATAAATGAAGTTTTATGCATTTTAATGTAAAGTTAATTAAATATTTTAACATAATAAAAATGTATTCCTATTGAAAATAAAGTTTGCTTAACTATTTTTACTTATATTATAGATTTTGTTTTGCAACAAACAAAAAATTACTGAAATTATAAGCAGACCAGAAACAGATTTCTGAGTTACTGCCGCAAAAGCAAATATTTCCTCATTGAATATTCCATGGAAAATAATTCCGTTTTGGGTAATAGATTTGTTGCCGCTGCTTGCAGCTCTGATAAATTGTCTACAAATAATTAGACACTTTCTTAATGAAGTATTCCATTTACAGGTATTTCATTTCAGGCCATTAACACACTGCTTATCATGTGAGCTGTCTCTATTTGACTGTACTGTGGTGTAGAGCGCATGGCAATCTGCGTTTGACTAACTAATTGCGTATACGCTATGCTCTCTGCCATATCATAGACGGTTTAATTTAGACACACACACACACAGCGAGAAAGAGAGTGAGAGATGAAGGCACACACACACACACACACGTGCCACATTCATGGCCACAAACTGAATTGGCTAACTGAGCTCATTAGCAGCCGCTGTCAGGCTACATATACCCACACCGCCAGCCGTACATACCTATGTACATACCTATGTACATATGTACTGTATGTACATCTCTCTCTCTCTCTCTCTCTCTCTCTGTGTGTGTGCGTCTATCGCTCTATCCAATTACCTATTCGATAATGTGAGGCAAACCAAATGAAATTAATTGCACATTTTAATTGACAACGCATCAAATCAATTTGCATGCCCGTCATTCAGACAACGATTAATGAATGAACGAATTGAATGTGTGTCTGTGTGTGTGTGTGTGGCATGTGGACACATCTAAATGCAACCAGTCTAACGTGTGATGCGGCTTGAGGGCTGGAAGCCATTCTATGCCACACAACTCTATTGGCCCTTTACGCATCTATAATGAGGCAGGTGCGCATTTTGTTGCTCCTTGACGGCCAATAAATTAGTCGAGGTGTGCCTCAGGTCGCGCTTATCTCGTTGTATATTGTTTGTAGGCCAGCTGCCCCACACCCCCTGGGCAAATATCTTTTACATGTCGAGAGCTGTGAGTGGGGAAGCCACCATGATGTGGCTTACATTATTGAGATTGCATATTGAATTTTATTCCATTTCATTTTCAGCTGACAATTAGCGTATTGATTGGTCCTTGGATTGGTTTTAATTTGCTGGTTAGAAAACACTGAAAGGCTTTTAGGCAGAGTCGTTAAATGGCATTAAATAAATGCAAAACATGAACATAAAAATCACAATAAATTACACAATTAAAATTGAATCCAGCGAGCAAGTTGTTTCAGTGCGAGGTTTGGTTTTATAGTTGCCTATCTTCAGCATATTTTATTTATGATTATAATCCTCGCAGCTTCTTGTCAGATTGCCCCCAAATAAACTATGGAAATTGTAGAAATAATAAGCGATTTCTGTGGTTATTTATATTCATTTTTACTCAGTTGATTTAACGCTCATCAAATATTCTCCCGCAGTAATCGGCCTTTGTTGATTTCATTTTCATCATAATTGCACTGCGTACGAGAATGTTGCTATGTTGGTCAAGAGTTCAATTAGTTAAAGTCACAGCCGCACAATTGCGTACATTCATTTCCACTGCACACTTCGAGGGTATTTTAAAATGAATTATAATTGCACAGCTGAGAAGAGAAATGCAAACAGAAACTGGCATTTAAGTTTTGTGCTGTCAGCAAATGTAACAAGTTGGAATGGCGCGAAATGAAAAATACTGCTTAAAAATGGCAAAAATAAATACAAAATATATCGAAATATATATTATATCCATGATTGATAGGCAGTAACACTTTGAACTGACGTAAATAGTTGCAAGTCCAACTGGTGACAGTCTAGATCTTTATGCTGCCGCACAGCATATCCTTTGACCCATAATAGTGCCACAATGAGTGGGCGATGGAGTTGAAAGAAAAACGAAGGATTGCATTGGCTCAGGTCAGTGGAGTGCTGTGCCTGACCTCTTT